GCCCGCTCCGACCCGGAGCGCGCCGAGCTGTGGGAGGCCGCACGCCCCGGGCTGGGTCGGCGGGGCTGCGGGGGAGCGCCCGCCCGCCGCGCTTCGCGGTCCCGGCGGCTCGGATGGGGGAAGGGAGAGGCGCTCGCAAGGACTCACACAGGACGCCGGCGTAAATCAGGTTTATTCGTGTTCACAGAACATACTGGGCGACCCCAACCCCACGGCCCACCGCCCTTCCCTGAGACCTGCGGGGCGGAGGCGCGGGCGCCGGGCGCCACCAACCGGCATCCAGTAAGAGATCGGCGTTCACGAAGGGGAGCACCGCGCCCCCTCGCATAAGTTAAAATAAATATTACACATCCCCCATCACCCTGAGGACACATAAATACGTATAAATATTAATTAGGAGCAGTGAGAATAAGTTAGTGTTCCGATCCGCGGTCCCAGTGTGGGATACGCTCGCGCGCACCAGCTCCGCCCGGTGCGTGGGTTCGATCCTCGGCGGCGCCGACTCAGAAGGCAGCCGGGTGCTGCTGGAGGAACGCGCGGAGGTCGGGGGCGTGCTCCGCGGGCCGCGAGGTCAGATTACAGGGCTCGAGGGCGGCAGGTGCGGGGGGCTCGGCGGCGGGCGCGTCCTCCGGGCCCAGGGTCACCGGCGCGCCCTCCTCGGCCATCAGGACTTGGCAGAAGACCACGGCGAGCAGGATGAACAGGAGCCTCTTGGCCGCGTTCGGTTCCTCGGTGGGCAGCTGGCGCCGGACCTGCGGGTGACAAGGCAGGGGGAGGTCAGGTCGTCGCCCCGACGCGCAGCGACCCAGGGCCCCGTACGGGCGTTCCGGCCACACTCACCGCTCGCGGGTACAGGACCCGGCGACTGCGCTTTCTGTGCCCGCGGGAGGCGCTGAGCCGCACGGCGGGAGAGGCCGCGGGCTCCGGCAGGGGATCGAAGGTGAAGATCTCGGGGCCTGAGCCCCGCCGCAGCCCCGGGCTGGGGGAGGGAGCGGGAGCTGGGGCCCGCAGGCCGGTCAAAGTGGGCAGCGAACTGCGAGAGTGACACATCGCGACCAAATCCAACTAGAGCAGAGTGCGCGCCTGGACGCCAGCGCCACTTAAGTAGCAGGGAAGGGGGCGTGGCCTCGTGGCTCCGCCCCCGCCCCGGGGAGCGGTGGTTGGTGCAGGCTGGAAATTCCGAAGGTTGAGCAAGGGATGGGCGGAGTCGAGGGACGGCCCAGGGTGGGCACGTGTCGCGACCTGTGGCGGGTGCGGGGGCGCCTTCGGTTTAGAGACCCTCGGGCCGGGGTCCTGGCGAACCTGAGCGGGGCTGGGAAGGGACGGCAAGGGTGGGAGACCTGCGGTCCTGTTGCAATTTCCACCTGTAAGTCCAGGGGAACTTTTGGAAAGCACGTTTTCAGGTGGTGGGTGCGTGGAGAAAACAGGGTTTGAGCAAAGGCGTCGCAAAAACTACCAGAAGACTGAGAAAAGAGCACAGTGCAGACATAGCCCTGCCCCGCCAGCGCACGGGAAGACTCGTGCACGAGCCACACGCTGCCTGCACGCCACGCAGCTCGCACCCACGCGGCAGGTGCGAAGGACAGCCGCATCCTTGGGTGTGGGGGAGGTGGTGCCCGTGAAAAGCTGCTGCAGAGCTGCCTCCCGCCTGGGCCCCTTGTGGACTAAATGACAAAGTGCATGTGAAGACCTCTAGATTGTGAGATTGTATACACCTAAGGACGGCAATTTCTCAGCCTAGAACTGATTCATTTCCATAATTATCTGAGGGACAGCTGCTTATGGATGTGGAGTTCAACATTTCTTTTTTTTAAATTTTATTTATTTATTTGTGTGTGTGTGTGTGTGTGTGTGTGTGTGTGTGTGTGTGGCCAGCTCAGCCCACCGGGGGTGGGGGGGGGCTGGCTGGCATGTGGTGCTGGGGGATTGAACCGCAGTCCCTGTGCTTTGCTAAGCTTGTTCTAAGGAGGTGCTTTAGACCACGGAGCCATCTCACCAGCCACTGAACCTTGAATTTCATGATGAGAAAAAAATATCTGGCTAATAGCAGATTTTCTGTCCTCATTTTTGAATAAAATTCTTCAAAAGAAGAAGAAGAAGAAGCTACACACAAAAGCAGATAAAAGAGCGTATGGAGCAGATCTTCCAGCTAATTGAAACCCAGCTACCAATTAAC